AGAGGCCCAGGAAAGCTGGTGATGTAGTTCTAGCTCAAACCCAAAGGCCTGAGACCCAGGAGAGCCAATGGTGTAAGTTATGGTCCAAGTTGGAAGGACTGAGACCAGGAGCACCAGTGTCTGAGGGCAGGAAAAGATGAATGTCTTAGCTCAAGTAGAGAGAGAACAAGTTAGCCTTTCCTCTGCCCTTTTGTTCTATTTGAGCCCTCAATGGATTGAATGATGCCTGCCCATATCTGTGAGGTTAATCTTCTTTACTCAGTCTGCTGATTCAAATGCTAATGTCTTCCAGAAACACACTCACAGACACACCCAGCTACCAGGGCATCCCTTAGCCCAGTAAAACTGACACATACAATTAACCATCACAGTTTCTTTTTTAATATAGATTCCATTGTAGTGGAGAAGTATATTAAGCCAAGAAAGAGATGCATAAAGTGCAGATAATAAGCTGCAAAGACAAATGAAGCAGAATGTAAATGTGGGGAGTAATGGGGCATGTACTTTCAGACATATTTATTATGGATGTTTCTGCTAAGGAAGTGAGATTTTACAGAGAAATGAGCCATGCAAAGATTTGAAGGGGTAGAAATTATTTCTAATAGAGAGAACAGCTGGTGCAAAGGGCCTGAGGTGGAAGCTTGCTTGGTCAAACAGAGGAAGCAGGAAATATCTTTGAATTTATAATGTCTTATGATGCTTGGACAGGGAGCCCCCTTTCCCATGGACCTTTATTTGGGGATGGGCATTGAGGGCAAGAACATTTTGGCTACACTCAATGTGTCTTCAAACTGAGAGGAGTTATAGCTTGGTTACTGCGGCATCTCAAAACACTGCCAGAAGAGGGGGGCTTCAGCATCCTGTTGGAAGTTGTAAGAGGGGATAAGGATGGAGCTCTTGTGGTGGTAGGGACAAAAACTTCTTGATTTTGATCGGGGGTGAGGCAATTCTAGGAAGGAAATCTTTTCTCCTTAGAATACTCTGATGTCTTTGGGACAATAGGTAGGAAATTTCTCCCACCAGCCCAGGAGTCTCTAAAGCAGGGAAAGGACACATAAAGTGCAGGTAGGGTGACCGACTGTCTTGGTTCGCTTGGGACTAAGTTCGTTCTTGGGATACATCTCAGACAAACCAGGATAAGTTGGTCATTCTAGGTGCAGGCAATGCCTAGTGGCGGACCTCCTCATCCTCCTGAGACTCAGCCCTCTCCTGGGGAGCCTCAGACCTCTCAGGTGTGATTTGAGATACTCAAGCATGAGGTTCTTTACACGGGATGGAGCTGAGCTCGGTGACAAGGAGCCAGCTTTCTGTGTGGACCATGGCCTATGCCAGGGAACTCACATGACTCCTGGGATGTCTCTCAAAGGAATCACCCATTCACCTGAACCTTGACCAAGAGTCAGTGAGGTGGGAGCCAGTACCTGGAAAGCGACTGAGAATCTGTTGTAAAGAGTGTCCATTAGCCCATCTTTGGGCAAAGAAAGAAAAATTTGCAAAGGCTGCAAGGTTTTACTTGGGAGAGGGAAACAAAGAGCTTCAGCTTGAATCTGAGCTGCATTTGTCCATGTCTGGACACTTACTTACAAGTCACCGGAGGTAACTAGACTCTGAACATGGTCCCTATGAGGTTTCCCTGGGGAATTCCCCGCAAGGATTGGGGGTGAGGTGGGAGGGAGGTTTCCCTGGGGGATTCCCAGTGAGGACTGGGGGTGAGGTGGAGGGACGATGCCTTGGTAGCTGATATAGCAGATGGTGGTCAAAACAAAACAAAAACTCTGTGAAAGACCATTATTGTTCTTGCAATTTTACTTCTAGAGTGGTGTTACCTGGACCACTTACCTGTATAGCTCTTTAAAATTAACGAAGTACTTATTTTTATTTTTGTTATATATATGTGCATACATGTAAGGTATACAACGTGATATTTAATATACATACTGAAATGGCTACTGTAGTCAAACAAATGAACATATCCATTATCCCCTGTAGTTACCCTTTTTGTGTAAGGTTGAGAGCATCTTTTGTGTAAGAACATCTCAAATCTACTCTCTCAGTAAACTTCCAGCATATGGTACAATATTTTAGCTATAGTCCTCATGTTGTACCTTAGATCTCTGGACTAATTCATTCTGCACATTGGCGATTTTGTACCCTTTGAACTACATTTCCACTTTTCCTTTTCCCCTTCTTTTCACCCCTGGTAACCGCCATTTGTTCTCTATGTATTCTGCTTTTAAAAAAATTCCACATGTAAGTGAGATCATGTGGTATTTTTCTTTCTCTGTCTTATTTCACTTAGCATAATGTCCACCAGGTTCATACATATTGTCTAACATGGAAGGATCTCTTTCTTTTTTAAAGTTGGATAATACTCCATCGCATAATCACGTGTCATTTAACAACAGAGGTATGTTCTGAGAAATGTGTTCTTAGGTGATTTTGTCATTATATAAACATCATAGAGTATACTTTCACCAACCTAAATGGAATATCCTACTACACACCCAGGCTATATGGTACAGCCTATTTCTCCTAGGTTATAAACCTATGCAGCAGGTTATTGTACTGAATACTGTAGGCAATTGTAATACAATGGTAAGTATTTGTGTATCTAAACATAGAAATCTGGGTGTGGTGGCTCACACCTGTAATCCCAGCACTTTGGGAGGCCAAGGCAGGAGGATTTCTCAAGGCCGGGAATTTGAGACCAGCCTGGGCAAAATAGTGAGACCCTTGTTTCAACAAAAGTAAGTAGGAAAAATTAGCCAGGCATAGTGGTACTTGCCAGTAGTCTTAGCAACTGGGGAGGCTGAGGTGGGAGGATTGCTTGAGTACAGGAGCTCCAGATTATAGTGAGCTATGATCACATCACTGTTCTCCAGCCTGAAGGACAAAGCCAGATCTTGTTTCAAAAACAAACAAATAAAAATATGGAAAATATCCAGTAAGAATAAGGTATTGCAGTCTTCTTATGAGACCACCATTGGACACACAGTTGTTGTTGACCCAAACATTGTCATATGGTGCATGGCTGTAGACAGACACTTAGGTTGATTCTAAGTTTTGGCTGTTGTGAATATGCTGCAGTGAACATGGGAGTGCAGACACTTCAACACATACTGATTTCATTTCCTTTGGCATATCCCCAGCAGATGATATTTGGATACAAAATCCTTTTTATTTGTCATGGAGATGATAATGAACATGTGCCAGAAAGCTAACGTTTGCTGTTCAACATTCTTTAGAATCAACAAAGAGTACTCTAAGTATGAAACCTAGAATTAGAGACCTAAACAACATCAAAAGAAGTAGAAAAACAGTGCTGAATACCTCAGAATTCAAGGCCAGGCTTATCCTGGATGTGGCTGTAGACTCCTATCAAAAGGAACTTGGAAAGAGAGTTCCTGAGTTAGGAAGACGGCATCAATAGAAATGAAAATATGCGCTCCACCAGACATGAGAAAATGAGACCCATCTGCTGGTTAGCATTTCTCTGGTTAAAACACTCCTGTTTTATAGAAGAGTTAGGAAACCATTAACAGGAAGCAGGTCATAAAATATACAGGCTCTAGGATCAGGATTTTAATGGCTTTAGGGACAATTTAAACTTATGACAGTGAACTTTCTGAGGTAAAATGTGATTTTTCCCAGGTTAGTGAATATGCTGCAAATGTGACTCTCCTTAAAGAGTTGTTTCAGAGTGTATTTCATGTTGATTCATGAAGCAAAGTGAGAGGAATAAAAAAAACTAGTCGTCTGGTTTGAACCATGCATATGCATGATTAGATGTTTTTCTCATAGAAAAAAAAAGGAATATAGTAAATGAAACCAAAATAGAATTATATACAAAGGTCGCAGGAACTTTATGGTGTATTTGGGACTCATTTATGCAACTTCCACATCTGAGCCCTTTTCTTGATTTCTGAGCAGAGTGTCCCTTGCAGTGAGGGCATCAGGTCATTTCTGTGCCACTGTCACCATATGGGCCTGGTTAGGTGATTGCTCCAGTCCTCTGTGTGGCTTCAGGGTGGGGCCTGAGAGTGCCCTGCCTCACACTTGCTCTCACTTCATACCCACGCCATCTGTCTCTTAGCCCTTGCCTCTGGGCCTCACTGTTGTTACTGAGGAGTGACATGTAGGTCCCACCAGGTTCATGCCTTGAAGTTCATGGGTCTTCTGGCTCTGCTGAGTGAGATTTCACTGACAAGGAATGGAAGCTGGAGCATCTGTTCTTCTTCGCTCCCCTTTCCAGGTGGGTAGTCTAGATTCAAAGTTACTTCTTACATCTTAGAGTCTCTCTCACACTGTCTTGCAAGACAGCAGTCGACTTGTCCCAAAGCTGTGGCCAGCAATGGGCTCTTTCATTCACTCCCCTCCCTGCCCAGTTAAAGCTAGGCCTATAAATACTCAACACAGATTTGCAAATGAATAATTTTTTAAAATTTCATTTATATTTGGAACACTTTACAGGGAAATATATATGAATATATATATTCTGAATATGTATCTACACACATAGGTACATATGTATATATTCAAAAATAATGGACTTCAGTTTGTCAATTATGTTTTCCCCTCTTCTTTTTTTGCAAATTAAAATTCACGAGAACTGCCATATATGTTGATTATTTGATTGATTAATGGTAATTTGGGAGTGAGGATGGTTGTTCTTTGTACTGTAGGATAATTTCATTCAAACCTGTTTGGAGACTACATTGCACCTAACAGCAGCTGAAGCTGGGCCTGGGCTTGTGGGCACTGCGTGTGCAGCCCACCAACCACACCCTCCTTCGCACATACCCCTTGTAAGTGACCAACCTCCTACTGATATTCCTGCCAGTCTTCAGCTGTGGTGGCAGCTGTCCCTCAAGAGTGTCAAGACTGGAGTCTAGCTGTCGAGAGCACCTTGCACTCACATTTAGTGATGGGTAAACAGAGATTTTTGCTCTTTATTTAGGAAGCTGTGTATTTTAACTCAATTTTTGATGTTTTGGGTTGATGCTTTAGGATAGGACAGGGTTTTACATTTGTATTAGATTATAAGGCACATGTTCAAAGACAAATCTATTTGAATTTGGTGGTGTGGAACAATAGGAATCAGAGCTATTGTAATTGGCCTTCTTTTCTCCAGAAGGGGAAACTGAGTCAAAGAGGGGTATACACTTGCCCATGGCTGCCCACAGAGCCACCATAGCCATTTCAGTGCTGGGACTGGATCCCATCCTCCACTGACCAGTTCACAGTTCCTCTGTCACAAGGCTGCCTCTTTTGGCTTCAGTTGTGTTCTAGGACACAGAAATACAGGCTCTCATCTTTCCAATTGACTGAGCATTCTCAATCCTTCTGTAGTGCTAAAAGAAAATATTTAAAAGAGATTTCAATCATGATTCTCATATTGATATAAAATGAACACATGTCAAAGATTTTCTTTAATTCATTAATGAATAAGGGAACCAGTAAGATGTTACAAATTGTTCAAAGGAGATTTCAAAGTGCCTCATGTATAAAGGCAGAGAAGGGATACCAAAATAACTGTCCAAATACTGTTGGCCCTTGAACAAAATGGGGTTGACCTGCACAGGTCCACTCACATGCAAATTTTTTTCAATAAATATATTGGAAAAAATTTTTGGAGATTTTCGACTATTTGAAAAACTTATAGATAAATGGTATAGCCTAGAAGTACAGAAAAATTGTAAGAAAAAGCTAGGTATGTCATGAATACATAGAATATGTATAGGCACTAGTCTATTTTATCATTTACTACCACAAAGTATACACAGATCTCTTATAAAAAATTAACATTTATCAAAACTTACACAAACACATACGGTATGTGGCACCATTCACAGATGAGAAACATGTAAATGTAAAGATGCAGTATTAAATCATAACTGCATGATGCATTAACTGTAGTACATACTGTACTACTGTAATAATTTTGTGGACACCTCATGTTGCTGTTGTGGGGAGTTCAAGTGTTGGGGGTATCCGCTTAAACTGCTATGTGATGCTAATCATCTCCAAGTGAACAGTTCATTTCTCCAGTAAATTTTCTACCACAGTAAGAAGTGATCTCTCAAGGTTCTTAAATATTTTTCATAGTGTTAAATGCAACACCATAAAAATTGAACAATAGCATGGGGTTCATATGAAGTGCCACTAGCGATGTGGAATTGATCCTAAGAAACAAAGTTATGACATTACAAGAAAAAGTTTAATTGCTTGATAAACACCATAGACTGAGGTCCACAGGTTCAGTTGCCTGCTGTTTCAGACAGACAATTCGTCTTAGAAACAGATAAAGTAAACTTATGGTGTCAATAAATTTAGTACAGTATTGTAAATGTATTTTCTTTATAATTTTCTTTTCTCTAAGAATACAGTATATAATACATATAACATACAAAATATATGTTAGTGATAAGGCTCTGGTCAACAATAGGCTATAAATAGTTAAATTTTGAGGGACTAAAAAGTTATATTCAGATTTTCACTGTGAGGGGGTCGAGCCCCTAACCCTCATTGTTCAGTGGCCAACTAGATGCAAAATGGATCAATAATCATTTGTATTCCACTAGACACACGAATTTGCATTTATATGGACAAAAATAATTTGCATTAGTATCAATTTTCTACTTACAGAGTTGTAAAATGGCTGAAAGACAGTTTATGGGGATGCCCAGAAAGGACACATAGTAATTTATTTTTTCAGTTTTTGCCCATTTAAAAGTCTTACAATTTTTTTTATAATACTAATGGGAACTGAGAGCTGTGATTTAAGAAGTGAGAGTCTGAAGTAACAGTTTTTTAAAACAAAAGTTTCCTGTTGGTATATGTGCTATTCACTTGTCTCTAGAAATCTGATTTAAAAAGCTATCAAATTTGGAGAGAAATTGTACTTAATGCCTTCCCTTCCTCCCAGTTTTTAAAATAGGGGTTTTAAAAATTATGTTGGGTCAAATTAAATGATTTTATAGCCTTGGTGGAATGACTTTACACTAGTTATAATTATCTATGTCAGTACCCACCTCAAATGCAGCTCAGCCTCAGAATCCTTTTTCCTTTAGCTGAAACCACAAGGACATTCCTTTCTTCCTTTTTCTTCTTGGGCAGATACTTAAACTTGTCCAGACCAACCCTGAAAGCTTAGCAAGGTTTCCCCTTTGCAACTAGCCCAATTCTGACTAGGTGGTTCATAATAAATGGACCTTCCTTTATTTCTGAGAGATTCAAGCAATTCTGCCTACACTTTGGCACCTTAGTCTTGTTTTTATTTCTGTAATGGGTTTAGTGTCTATCTCACTTTTATTCAAGACCTTGCCTTGCTGGGGTGTGGTGTCTCCATTCCAGGGACCAAATCTAACACATCTCTCTGTCCCCTCTGTCCACCCAGACCAGTGTTAACTTTCTTTCTGAAGTTGGGACCATTTCCCATCCCACTTCAACCTGCCCCTCCATGATCTTGCCTTCCATCTCCTGAGCCATGTCTGAATATTTATGCATCCCTTGAACAAGGCGATTCCCACGGGACTGAGTTCCCTCAGCATCTGCCTTGCCTCCGTGCAGAGTCTAGTGCCAAAGTCAAGTCTCCTCTTCTACCCCATTGGGCATTCCTGCCGGAATCACAAGGCTGGGAGTGAATCATGACAATATGGAAGGTAGATTAGCAGTTCAAGATCTCACAAATCTGTTATGCTTCAGAAACAATTAGAGAAACAAAGTAGTCTAGGTGAACACACGTTTCATTAGCGTTCAGTATACAGACACTTGACAAGCACTTACTATGTGCCTGCACACTTAGGCTTATTATCCTTAACCTTTGGACATGATATGAATTTAGACCAATTGCTTAAGTACAACCACACACAAACACCAGCAGTGTGACTCAAGGTGAAGTAGCATCTTAGGATTCTTTTTAAAAAATAAATTAGTGAAATTTGTAAAATTAAAATTTATTGATTTGTCTAGGCATGTTAGTAATCTGGCTATGTATACTATATTGACTCTTTTCACGAAAATGGCACAACAGCATAGTGCAAAATAACAACAATGTTGGTAATAATACCTTGAGATGGGTTGTGAGAGAAGAGCCGTAGGGAGCCGTAGGGAGCTGTAAGGTGATCTTTCCAAGGCCTGGAGTCTGCATGGCTTGGAATGGCCAAAGGGAGCATTTGATTGCTCTATCTGTGATGCTTTCAGGAAGGCAGAGGAAAATCACATTGGCCAGAGTTAGTTGCTCTGTGAGGCATCCATACCAGACTCTTCCTTGTTCTTTTAGATAGTGCTTATTTAGCAAAATCAGGTACAATTTCAGATGTAATCCAGAAATTCTGCTTAAAGCTGGCAAGTGATTAACATCTTTGGAGAATTCCTCTAGGAAGTAGATGATAATTTGCAGGGGGGAGGCCAGGAGAGTAGCAGAGTGCAGTAATCCACTGGATCAATGGAGAACAGTCTTTTTTTTCCCCTAAAACACTAAAATGGAGCATTGTAATTATTTTAGTTTAGTTAAATCTAGGATAAAATTAGTGCCACTTACTTTAGCATAGTATTCCAATGAGAATGTGTCTATGAAAAGGATGACTTAGAAATGTGTTACAGTCTTATCTGGATTGGTTTCCAAGGTTTGACTCTTATAATATTTCCTTTTAATAATGACTTATAAAGTCTTTTGTTAAATAGAATAATGCTTAGCACAGTTAATGGCAAATAAGTTATTTTTTGTCTCACTAGCTATTTGGAAATTCTAGTTAAATACTTATTACTAGATTAGGCTAATAATGACAACAGAAAATTTTTACCTATGTGTTTTGTTAAAGAATAAATGATGTTTTAAATGTAGAATCCAATAAGAGTTAAGCAAAAGCTGGTGATTTTGCTAATGTCTGTGCTATAGAGGAAACGATTAATTAAAATAGCTTTGAGTCTCCTATTATGAAGTGATTATTGAATCTGCTTTTGGCAAAACCATCACTTTACTGAGCTGGTTCTTTCAGAGGTCACTGGCAAATGAGAAAAAGGCTGTCGAGTCTCACAGAGGTGTCCCTGAAGGTGCCTTGGACAGTGGCTGACATAGAACAGACTCCCACAGAGCAACAGGGGTTGATGGTTACTCTCTGTCATCCACTAATAGCCAAAATACCCTTGTTGAAGACACAGCCTTTCCTCTCTTTCTTCTCCCAACTCCCAGGGTGAATAGGCAGGTCCCTCCCCTACTGGATCTTCCTGTGGCATTCTGCAGTGATGGCCTCACGCTGCTTCCTGAAAGTGTGTCCAAGGGGCCCTTGGCTACCCTCATCCCTCCTTCCCCATGGGCTCCATTCCTGCCTCTCCTGAACTTCCACACACTAGGCCTTCAGCCTGCCCAGGGCATGTATCACGAGCCCTTTACTACTACGTTTGGAAGACTTTGGGGGGCCATCTACAGTTTTTCTTTTGTGAATTGTTTGGTGTCATTATCTTTACACACTTTCCTTTGGGGGGCACTTAAAAAATTTGGTTTTTTTTTACATAGTAATGACACTGTGGTTTCTATTCTCGGCTCGTGATGTGATATATGTTGCAAATACAGTTTTGCTTTTTAATTTTAATGGATTTAAATTTAATGGAGTTTTTGTTTAGTTTTGTTTGTTTTATAAAAGAGTGATTTTTGAATGTCGTCAAAGCCAGTGCTTTCTTAGGGATTGGAGTCCCTATCCTAAATGACAGCTGTTCTGACTAATGTCATCCATGTTCCTGGAAACAGTTTTGCACCTCTTGCCCCATGGTCTTGAAACAAACAGTGACGGTGTCCCAATACCAGGCCAGTGCGCATGCTGTGCGGCTGCCAAGACTGAGAAGACATGCTGTACTTGATTAGGAAGAAGTGGGGACAGAAACGCTCTTGTGAGAGAAAAGGCAGCATGATGACCTGGTCATCAATTGTATTAAAGTACAATTTCTTGGTTGGGCTGAGTGTCCATTTTTCTGCTTCTTTGCCTGTTCAGATTCTTTTTTTTTTTTTTTTTTTTTTTTTTTTTGCCTCTTGTTCTGTTCCCTTTCTGGGAGCGCGGCGGCGGCCCGTAGCTCACAGCAACCTCAAACACCTGGGCTCAAGTAATCCTGCTGCCTCAGCCTCCTGAGTCGCTGGGCTTACAGCAATGCGCCACCATGCCCGGCTAATTTTTTTTTTATATATATATTTTTTTAGTTGGCCAATTAATTTCTTTCTATTTTTTTTAGTAGAGACAGAGTTTCGCTCTTGCTCAGGCTGGTCTTGAACTCCGGACCTCAAACGATCCTCCTGCCTTGGCCTCCCAGAGTGCTAGCATTACAGGCCTATTCAGATTCTTGAATCAGGAGATCTTTCTAGATTAATGTGACATTCTCAAGTGCAGTGGTGGCCAAGGAGTCATCTATAAGGATTAAAATAAATTTTGTACATATAATATTTTATACACACACATAATACTCTATAAGGATTAATATCATTTCTCTCTACAGGGTATTTTACACACACAGTACTCTCTCTATAAGGATTAATAAATTTCTCTGTATAGAGTATTTCACACACTCACATGTGTATACACGCACACTACTCTTTCTATAAAGATTAATATCATTTCTCTCTATAGAGTATTTTATACACACAGCCCCCTAAACATAACAGGTGTGAAGTGTGATTTCATTTTTTTATACTGGTAGCAAGGACGGTGAATGCTAGGTTTGCAAACAGTGTTATGTTTTATTAAAATATTTAGTAATAATTAATAAAAATAAATTTAAATTTTCTGCTCTGCATAAATAATTTTGATTTAAAATTCTGATAGCCATTAATTAAAACTCTGTCTCTTAATTTTAATAGATAATCTTTCATATTTTAGAGGAAAAAAATTTTTTTAAACCATTTAACAATTTTAGATTTTAATTTTCATTCAATTTATATTTTTAAAGAAAATAATTCAAATTTTGTACACTTGGAATGCAATTAAATTTTATTTTTAACTCTTTAGATCATTAGTGTCAAGGGAATACAAATGAGGTGAAAAAAATTTAAATATGTAGTGATTTTTGCCAAAGTGAAGGCAAGAAAACAGTTTTTATGGACGAAATGCAAGATTTTATTACCCACGTATATTGTTTTAAGATTTTCCCAAATATTGCTGGTTCAACAATAGAACACTCAGACACAACACAATGATTATTAAATTTAGTCTTTGATATTTTGCCAACTTCCGGTCTTAAAAACCATAGCTTTACATAAATGTTTTGTTTTTGTTTTTATGGCAGTATATGGAAGGATAAAACATTTTTAATTTAATAATCTGTTAGATTGATTTATAACTTTTAGATATTGATGCAAGTGATATATGGGCTCTTTGTACTCTGAGCTCCTGGCCTTGTAAATGTCTTGCAGCCAAAACCATCTTGTTGACATGCTTGCCTTTGGTATCATTTCTTTGGTCCCCATTTGACCTTGATGTAATATAAACCTTTCACTCGTATTTTTTTTTTGTTATTTTTATGGCTTTGTTTTCTATATTAAAATCCTTAATCCATCTGGAATCCATTTTTGTTCAAGATGAAAAGTTAAAACGTTATTCTGTGTCCCAGACTCAGCCAATTGTACAAATATGCTTTGCTGGAAAATCTTTTGTTTTCTCACTAGTTTGTAATTTACATTTATTATTTCTCACATGTATTTGTGTACTTTCTATTTTATTTCATTGCTTCTGGGTCATTATGTATTGTTATGATTGTTGGGTTTCTTTCTTTTTTTTTTTTTTTTTTGGTTGTCATTGTTTTGTTTGGCTTTATAATAATCTTTAGGGTATGTTTCACCTCCTTATCTTTGTTTTTCAAAATTTTATTAGCTATTCTTAACAATATACTTCCCAGATATACTTTAGAATTTTGAACAAGGTAAACATAGTTTTCTCCTTTGTTCAAGCAAGGACGAAGTATTTATGAAATTTTGAGGGAAAAAAAAGAATACAATGCATCAACTCATCTGCTGATTATAACATTAGTTTTCAAAAGATCTTTTCATTCAGGCTGTGAAGATTATGCATGCTTGTGAGTTCTGTTCAGCTTTGCTTTCTAAGGAGAACCTGCTTAGGCATGCTGGGGATGCTGGGGTTCGTGTCTGGGATCGAGCCTGCCCACAGGGCTGAGGGACTCCTGTTGGGAGGGTGGGGCTGGCTTGGCAATGTGGCTGGGCTTCCGAGGCCCAGGTGCAGGGCTCAGAAATACAGCAAGAGTGGTCCTGGGAAGCGTGCTCCAATAGCCCTAGCTGAGCAGTGAGAGGTTCTTTGAGGAAATGACTAGCGTGAAGGTGGGTGAGGCTGTGTTTCTGAGGCTGTCCCCTGCTAATAATATCCAATTCAGATGTCCATCAATTGCAAGTCTCCAGCTGCTGGGACTTCTGATGCATCAGCCAGCAAACTATCGAACCATCGGCAGCTTAGATTCCATAACGTGCAGGAACGGAGACCCAGGGAAATGCTTTGCTTACTCTCACTGGTTTATCATAAAGGCTACAATTCAGGAGCCACAAAATAGAAGAAATGCGTGTGGCGAGGTTTGGAAGAGGGGCACAGAGCTTTCTGCCCTCTCCAAGTGCCACCCTTCCAGCACCTGCAGGTATCCACTGACCTAGACTCTCCAAACCCCTTACTCTAGGTTCTTATGGAGGCTCCACTGTGCACTTATCAAGATTAAGTCATTGGCTACTGGTGATGACTCAGTCTCTCTGGAGTCTGGGGAATGGGCTGGAAGCTCCTACCCTCTAATCACATGGCTGGTTCCTCTGGTGATCAGACCCCATCTTGAAGCCATCTAGAGGGGCATCAGGTATCACCTCAGTTGCATGAGCCCAGATAGGGTTGAAAGGGCTTATTATGAATCATAAAAGGCACTCCTTTCGTTCCATCACTCAGGAAATCCCAAGGGCTTTGGGAGCTTTATGGCAGGAACTGAGGAGAAAGACCAAATATATATTTTTTATTATATCATAATATTACATACCTAAGTGACTTCTTTCCAGAAAGTTCCCAAACCTTCTCATCTCTTTTTCACACTTGTCAATGGTGATAATTAATAATATTATAATGTTATTATATCACATTATTAATTAATAAATAACTCTAATGAGGAGGTTCTCATTAGCACATTGTAGATGGTCAGACTTGGACACTAGTTGTTACTATCTGGAGTGGCTAAAAAGAGGACCTCAAATGCACAGATTATTTATAGCAAGTCTCCGTGGGTAGCGTCTAGAATTCCTAGGCCATCCGCTGGTTCACCTGGTGTGATGGTTAGCTCTTCTCTTCATTGGATGCCATCTCCTCCTGACCACTGTTGTGGGTCCTGCCTGAGTGATTTCAACTAGGGAAACTCCAGACATTTAAGTCCTCCTTAGTCATTGTTCATCTCACAATCTCCAGCGTCAGGTATGAGCGATGATGCTCCAGATGTGGTGCAAGGATGAATGTGGTAGAGGACAGAAGCTGTGTGACCCCTGAGTTATGAGGGCATTTTTTGATGGCTGGAGATCCGGCCATCTTTTGATGGCTGGCAGTCCTGGTGGAACGTCATTTAGCAAAGAAGATGTTGATTTGTACTTAAGACTGAAGGAATATTTGTTAACTTAGATGTGGGAGGGTAATAACAGGGGCCCAATGTTTTTGAGAGAAGGGAGAGGAAGGAGAGAGTGGGGATGCGGAAGAAAGGCAGAATTTTTGGCATTCCAGGGCCATGGGACCTCAGGGAGTTTACAGCTGTTCCAGGCCTTCTTTCTAGTTTCCTTGATTTTTTTGTTGAGACAGAGTCTCACTCTATCACCCAGGCTAGCATGCAGTGGTCTCATTGTAGCTCACTACAACCTCCAACTCCTGCCTCAACTTCTCCTCAAGTGATCCTCCTGCCTCAGCCTCCTGAGTAGCTGGGACTATGGGTGCTCACCACCACATCTGGCTGTTTGGTTTTTTTCTTTTTGGTAGAGACGGGGTCTTGCTCTAGCTCAGGATTGTCTTGAACTCCTGAGCTCAAGTGATCCTCCTGCCCTGGCCTCTCAGAGTGCTAGGATCACAGGTGTGAGCCACCATGCCCACCCAGCCCCTCTTTCTATCTCTAAGGTCTCTACTCCCTGAGGCCCCGCCATTCCGGGATCTCACAGGTCCTTCAGAAGGAGAAGTAAGAAACTTCTCCTCTGTCCAGGAGGCAGACGGAGCCAGCACAGAGTGAGTAAGAAATTAATTACCAAACAAAGTACTAGAATGCATCTGAATGATGAGGAAAATAAATCCATTTTTGTTCTCTAGAATATTTGAAATTCAAGATAACTGATGTTTATACGTATTTACAGCACTCATTATGTGTCTTAGTCACTCATACCATTTGGAAAGCGGGGTGTTCTCCAGCTGGAAACAGGCCCAAAGTGATTTAGGAAGAACCTGGAGGGTACTTCTCACTCCATCCCCACAGCCCCTGCCCAGACTGGGGAGCAGCCACACCTGCCTTCTTCTAACCCTTCTCTCAGCCATGCACAGATGCCTTCTAGAAGCCACACTGGTGGTTGGCCACACACATGCAGAGTGGCCAGGGAAAGTCCTCAGGGGACAACAGTCCACAAACTCCCATACATGATCTTAGTTGCAGGTGGGCTGGGTGTAGATCTGTGAAAGTTGTCAGAATCAGAATGGAGGCGCTTATGTCAAATCCTAATAAAATAGAGCTGGGAGGCCTTGAAGGGAGAGTCTTCTCAGATATTTGTTTGATAACAAAAACTATCATGAGAGACTCTGCCAAATCACAGCCGTATAGTTAAGGCCAGCTCTATGGGGACATCTTTCCAGTAACAGCCAGTGCTAAGGCAACCTTGTGAGTAGCCTGACTGAACCATGCACTTGCAGTCAAAGCCGCTCCTGTGAAGACCCTCTCCTAGCAATGGCCAGTGCACATGTTGTGTCCTCTAGCAAGCCCCTGTCACCCATGAAACTGTGTTTCAAAACAATTTGTCCACACTTCTCTTTGCCTTTAAAAGTTTCCCTTTGCCTCAACCTCCCTAGATACACCTGTGATCTGTCATAGCACATGTATCCTGGATTATAATCTTTCTGTTTATTCACATTTCTATTCATCCTCATTTCTTTGTAGGGCCACTCTCTCTGTTGTTATTTTAGGTTGACATATCTGTTAAGCAATAAAGATAATTCTTTCTGACTCATATTTTTTATCTTTCAAAACATATTTCTGTTATGATGGTGCCAAAATCTTGTATGGCTTCTGTGGCAGCCACTGAAAGAAAATCTATTTTGAGTTACTTGTCCTGGTTGGAAAATGTATGAAATGTAAGGTAATTCCTCCCTCCATCCCCAGTGGATTCACTCAATTTTCTGTAGTACCCATAGATTTCCAACTCGAGATGATTTCCAAAGATACCTGGTGATTTCCATCTGATGGCACACTGGAGATGAGACAAGGATATTCAGAAAATAATTATATTTAATGTAACATTTTCTTAGCAAATAACTTTGCTTGTCACTGCCATCTCTATTCTGGGCCAGCTCTGGCTCCCCCCGCCCTCCTCTCCCGTTCCATCTCGCTGTTGGGACTGCATGTGGAGCCTGCATGTGTTCTCACCGACAGACACCCACACGATGTCCACACGGGGCTGTTCCCAACAGCCAAGTCCAAAACCCTGGCAAAGGCTTCCAGAGTCACAGGGTTAAGAAATAATTGAAAACTGTGACATAAGAACACTTTCTTGATATGACCTTTTCCTAAGAACTTTCATTCAAGAAGAATTAGAAATGTTTCTAGATAAAACAGTAGTAGAATCACCTTGAAGAAAAGCAACGTGGTGTGGGGTGAGAGTCGTATGCTCTGTAACAGATGGATGGGATGGGGTGCAAGCCCAGCATGACTGTTGCCCAGCCAGGTGACCCTCTGTAGGATGTACCAAAACTGTTTCTCATCTTCAGAAGCAAAGATGATGATGGGAGACCTCTTGCACATTGGCTGGTGTGAGGATGAAATGAGATAATACACCAGGTTCCTGTGCCTGGTACACAGGAAGCTCTCAGTAAAAGTGAGATGAGCTCCTCCACCAACCTCTGTTTGGCCCCTAGCTCAGTTGCAGCCGTTGCTGGAGCTGCTTCGCAACCCTTTTCAGGACCCAACCTACTGCAGCCGCTATTCCCAGGATGGTGATCCGTGTATATATTGCATCTTCCTCTGGCTCTACGGCGATTAAGAAGAAACAGCAAGATGTGCTTGGTTTCTTAGAAGCCAACAAAATAGGATTTGAAGAAAAAGATATTGCAGCAAATGAAGAGAATCGGAAGTGGATGAGAGAAAATGTACCTGAAAACAGTCGACCAGCCACAGGGTACCCCCTGCCACCTCAGATTTTCAATGAAAGCCAGTACCGTGGGGACTATGATGCCTTCTTTGAAGCCAGAGAAAATAATGCAGTGTATGCCTTTTTAGGCTTGACAGCACCACCTGGTTCAAAGGAAGCAGAAGCCCAGGCAAAGCAGCAAGCATGAACCTTAAGTATTCTGCCTTAAGCTTCCTGAAAAATGAGTCTCCATTACTTTCATAGAATAGCAAAATTATTTTGGCTTCAAAAACAGTAAGCTTAATGTTGAAATAATAGATTAGTTGGTGTTTTCACATGCACACAATCAAAATGAATATATAATTAAAATGTGAGCGTTATGGTGAGGAGAATGAGAAATGAAGATAAAATTTTAGTAGATATAATAGTGTTGTTATCTGCTAAGGCATTTTATGTACTTTAGTCATTTTGCAAAGAAAACACCCTTCACCTTCTTTTGGTATTATTATTGCAGCTTAAGTTTATCTGTAGCTCAACATTGAGGAGTTTAAAAAGGAGAGAGGAGCAAGAGTAAGAGAGAGAGAAATAATCTGTCTCTTATTCCAAAATTGCCTAATTTCAGTGAACAAGAATGTGTACCTTTTTGATGTGATGTCATTGTGATTAAAAAGTACTTGCAGATGATGTTTATATGGTAAACATTGTAATTTCTGTGGTAATTATAACATTCCCATTATTTTGTAGATGAAACTTCTGTGTACTGAACCCCAAGTTTTCCAGGTTTCTAAAAATAGCCTTTAATTGCATATTTCAGTTATCAGAATAGATGACTTCCTACCCCCCCAAAAAGCAATAGATGCATTCAGTTGATAACTCCCTTGTATAACTACACAGCTAGAATGGAATCATGTTTCTAAGTTCTTCCCTTAGTGAAATACACATGTGTATATCATGGAAGTGGGATAAGTAGGTTTAAAATGGCATTCTCTTCACTGAGCTCAGACTTTTGATTATTGTAAAATAGGTTGCCAATCATTGCCCAAAGTTAGTTTTCCTTGGGTTTTTGCTAAAAGAAATCTTAGTGCCCCCCCCCAAATAACTTGTGATCATGAATGTCACTATTTCTCAGAAATCTGATCTTTTAATTTCATTTTAGGCACATGTGAGTACGTTAATCTAAGCAGAGATAATCTTTTTTATGCCTCTATTCCAGCAAAAAGCACAAGTATCAAATAAAAGGGGCAACTTTAGAAATATTAATTCTAAAGACTTCTAAAAAGACAAGAAACATGGCCTAAATCACTTACACAGAAGATATATATATATATATATATAGTACTTTAGCTCCATACTATTATATTACTAAAAGTAAACACCTACTTAAACTACTTTTATTGTATCTGTTGTATGCAAGTCTGTACTCTTTGCCAAAATCAACATGTAATAAAGACATGGCTTTGTTTACTGAAATTAAAACTTGATGTGATGCTTTAAAATAAACTCAGTACTTTTAGAAACATAAAAAAAAAAAAAGTGAGATGAGATTGTTGGGGTTTGACTTTAAGGAAACAAAAGCATGATTTTTCTTCCCCTGGCAAGACTTGAGTCACCAGAGATTGTCCTTTCATCCATTCTCGGTCTGTTGGAGGTGGACAACAAAGAGGTCGACCTTATAAACCCTGCAAGACACTCCCCCCCCCCCCCCCCCCCGCCCCCCGACATTGGAATGTCACCTGCCTCAGGACAAGGTGGGACCTGTTGGCAGCTGGATCCTCAGCCCTCCCAGGCCAGGCTTTGATGTTCAGGGATGAGAGGCGGAGCCACCTTCAGGTTAATTTGTCCACTACCATGAAGATGCTCCTACAGGATGAACTGTATCCCCCCACGGAGTAAAGACCGTGTGAGGACACAGCAAAAAGGTGACTGCCTGCAAGCACAGGAAAGAAGCCTTGGATGAAGCCAACCCTGCCGACACCTTGGTTTCAGACTTAGTCCCCAGCACTGCATGACAGTGAGTGTCTGTTAAGGGGCCCAGTCTGTGGCATTTGCTATGGCAGCCCAAGCCCACGGAAACAGGTGCATCTCACCTTGACAGAACTGGTGGTGACAGTGGTGGTGTCCCCAAGGCTGTGAATGAACAAACCTCACCACAAGGATGTTCTACAGGTATCACAAACTCACCCAAGCAGGCCTTTTCAAATTAGACCTTCTCCTGCTTCCTTAGCTCGGTTCAGAGCCCCCTCTGGCATCTTGGCTGAAAGCCACCGTGGTTCTCAACTGGCTGCTCTGTCCTTGCACTACTACTTAATCAATCTGGGACACATACATTCCAGCACTAGCATTTTAAGAGGCTCCCAGGTGATTATAATGGATACCCAGGGCTGTGAACCCCTGTCCAAATTGTCTTGGTCTTCTCCCGCTTGTGGGCTCAGGCTGGATGTCTCACCTGGGCTTTTGGCCACTGTGTTGGCTTCCGGATGGATCTGCTCATCTCTTGTGCCCATGTCTCCAAGCTATCCCCCAGGGGGGTCCTTCTGACACCTGCCTGGTCATGTCCCCTCTGTCATACTTTCAACAACTGTATCTAGTTTCCCCTTAAGCCTAGGATGGGTTTTACACTCCTGATGTTCATGATTTGGTTCTGCTATTTTTTTCCACCTTCACTACCAGCCTCTCCCAGCCACAGAATCCTTTCTGCTGCCACAGGGTGCTGTTACCACATCTCAGACATGGGGAGCCTCAGGCTTTTCCTCTCACTCGCAGGACTGCTCCGTCTTCCTCCTGCTGGGGTAGCTGCAGTCAGAGGCTCTGCACTGTGAAACCTTCCCCAGCCTCCCCCACTCCATGGAGCTCTTCTTGTTGCCATATATACATACAAATGCACACCTTGTCTCAGTCTGTTCAGGTTGCTATAGCAATTAGGCAGTGAAATACATAAATAATAGAAATTTGTTTCTCACAGTTCTGGAGGCTGGGAAGTCCAAGATTAAGGCACTGGCACATTTGGTGTCTGGTAAGGGCTGCCTGGCTTCCAAGATGGTGATCGTGGCTGTGTCCTCACATGGTGGAAGGAGAAAGGGCAAAAAGGGATGAAGAGACGATCTTGCTTCTCAAGCCCTTTTATAAGGCCCTAATCTTGCCTATGAGTACAGAGCCTAATCACCTCCCAGCAGCTCCCTTCTTAGTACCATCTCCTTGGGGTTTAAGTTCCAGCATGAATTTTGGAGGGACACATACATTTAAATAATAGCATATATATACACAAAATGTATATATACATATATAAGTGCATATATTTACACATACATGTGCATATATATAATATATAAATCTAAATTTATATATGTAGACTGTGAGCTTCATGCAGGTGGAAATGTTGTTTTGTTCATCTTTATTTAGTCTTGTAGAATTTATCTATATGGAATATATAAATAAATATTAATTAAATGTTTTTAAATGTATAAAAATATAAAATATATTAAGATAAACATAATTTTGCATAACTATAAATGTAGAAATAGGATATACAAACATAGATATATTGATAAGTATATTGATATATAAATAAATATACATATATATATTTTTTCCAAATTAAAAACTGAACTTGTCTCATCGGAGAGGGAAGGATTTGAAATTCTATCCCTGTGTTAAGCCAAACTTTCATGTATACATGTGTCAACCTCCGAAATTTCTCTTTTGTTCTATTCATACATCTCCTTTTCTGTGCCAGTATCTCACTATTTTAATTACAGCTTTATATTGTGTTTTGATACTTGGTAGAGTAATTTCCTTTTCATTCTTTTTGTTTTTAAAACTTCATTGCTATTCTTGCATATTTTCTTTTCCAAATGAACTTGAGAATCATCTAATTAAGTTACAGTAAGTTCCTGCTAGAGTTGTGATTGGGATTACTTTGAATTTATAGATTAATTAGGGCAAAATTGCCATCTTTATAACAAAAATTGCTATCCTGGAATATCTATGTTTCTCTATTTAGTTCTTCATTTTCAGTTAGGTATTACAGATGTCTTTATGCAAGCACAGCACATTTCTTGGCAGATTTAATTTAATGTGTTTTATGATTTTTGTTATTGTGAATGGGATACTATTTTTATTTAAAAAACTTTTTATAGTGGAAAGTTTCAAAAGTATATACAACTTGCGAAAATTGCATAAGGACCCCTTATGTACCCCAAACCAAACTTCAATAATTATTAACTCACGACTGGCCTGACTTCCTCTCTACTCCATCTAATTCCTTTCTCCCTGCCCAAATATTTTGAAGCAAATCCTGGATTTCATGTCATTTCCACCATGGACTTTTTCATGTTAATTTTGGGCCTGACAACTTGTTTAACATTCTTACTTGTGCTAATAGCATGTAGTTAATTTACACGAGTCCTCAGGTAGAGACTCTTTACTTCACCTCTCCAGTCCTCAGCATGGCAGGCAACACGAGATAGGTCCTCAATACTTGTGTGTAGTCAGTTAAAAAATCAATGCGCTCCTAACTCACCATCGTGATTCCATTTCTCAGCTTGCTGTGTGCCGCATGGAGATCACTTAAACCCTAGTGTCTAGTGACATCTTCCAGCCTGCAGTGGCCCTTAGACTACACTCAGGTTAGCTGGGGCCATGCCAGCCCCCTATGCTGTTTAACATCCCATAGACAATGCACTCTTTGGTCACCAGGAAACCATCCTGCAGTTTGGACCACCCTCCCCATCATCTAACCCTGGGACTCGGCCCACAGAGGCCCGTGCCTGGGGCCGGTTCTTACAGAACAGCAGCAGTCTCAGCTAAAAGTGGGGCAGGGTTCACTTGAGCACAAAAAAGCACCTAGCCTGGCTAATAATTTATGTAGAGTTTCTATTGCTCAGACCTGAATCCGTTATTCAGCCTTAAAACAGGAATAGAATATGCAAATGCAGCAGGGAGAAGCGCACACACAGCACACACCATGCTTCAGTCTTGGCAACTGCTAGGCCCACTGGAGTTTTAGAGAGAGAGAGACACTCCATTTTCTCTGCCTGAGAGTGTACAGAAAGCGATAGAAACCCAGCCATGGCCTGGGCATTCCTCAAACAAGAGCACCAGGCCACTGTTTATCTGTGGACCTGGACCTTGGAGAGGCCCCCATCAGCACACAGCAGCAGAGAACCCAAGGCCAGCTTTGTGGCTCCCCCTGAAAGAGGTAAACTCTTTGATGTCAGTTTCTAATTCAAAGATGTGCCCTTCCCAATCCCATTCTCCTACAAAATAATCTATTATGGATTTCATCCATATATTAATATAAACCCCCTTTGAAACTTTTTGTTTGCTATTTTGAGTCATCACATTCTGTTGCTTACTGGGTAAAGTAGATGTGTTTTCTTTTCTCCGATGTTGACCTCTATTAGGTCACTTGAGAAGAGGTCCGTGTTCACCTCAGAGCCCCACCCAGTCATGATTTTAGGGTTATCACAACCTCAGGAGTTCTAAGTTTTAAAACTTGTCCTCATGACAATTTTCATAGCCTCCTTGACTCTGACTTCCCCCTGGTTCTTCTCTGGCTTTGCTACAGCTTTCTTTGGTTCTCTCATGTGAAATGGAACTGGCTCAGTTGTATGCCCAGGCTGGGAATATTTAATCTCATTTAAAAAGTAGCTGTTATTTAATGAAAAGAGGGCTAAATTTGAAATCTCAAACTATGGACTCAGGGCCTGCATGTACAATTTATTATTGGGGTTACCTGGGTGGAGTCATTTTGTGTCCTGGAGCCTTCAGTGTCATGGGGATAATAGTGAACTCAGATCATTGGTGTATGAGTCAGACAGGATGATGAGTGTGGAAGTATTTGGCAAGAT